ATTATACTACTATAATATATATATATATATATATATATATATATATATATATATATATGGTAATATTTAGCTTTAAGTACTACATATTGCACTTTTTTTGCCCGAGCTTTCGATGCTGCAAATTCTTTTGGAAAATACTGTCGCGGCAACTTATTAGCATGTCCTGTCGGATCGATGTCTTACGAGCGTTAACCCACCAAGGATACATATGGTTGAATCGAACCATATGATTATATAGCCTGCTGTTGGTGTATATTGTTTATTTATATAAATGGAACTGATAGCCGAGACGCGATGGCGATTGTAATCGCAAACATACCAACAACTATACATCTCAGACCGATCTATTGAAGCATGCACAATTATATGATTCTCCCATCTTTAATAATACATTCTTATTTCATTTTGTTGGCTTGTAAGTTTTTTTTCCTATTCTAGTCGTTTTACCAATCCCTATTTTTATTTCTTGTGCACGATCGCCGTATTCCTTTTTGAAGTCAAAACAGACCTTTGTGTAGCTCATGTTAAGACCCCAACGATTTCCACTGTTGCCCTGTATAAGTATCCAGCTTTTTTTCTTCTTCTGAACTGTCCATGAAGTTTGTCAACTGTTTCAGCATGGGTATGCAAGGTGTGTGTATGTAGACATTGTCTGTGTGCGTGTACATCTATATGTATGTAGCCTTCTAATGCTGATTTTAGAAGGTTGTATTGTGTCTAGTTCACCAGTCCCAGATCATTCACAACTCGTCGTCAGATTGTAGCTGTGTGTTGGGTATCGGAGGCACGTAGTCAATGTCTCGCAGCAATTCGCTCAGTACCGCCGTGGGAATGATGGTGATCTCAATATCGCCGCTACTTCGGTGGATGAAGTTTACAATATCCTGCAAGGATGAACCGGTAAACAGACAGTTATTTATACAAAGCAATAGTCAGTTTCTTTGCAGCGAGACAGTTAGCTACTTATGCAGAGCCATATTCCGTCAACATGATGAGATAAGGGGCCAGCCCCAAAGTTACATCCTGCCAGTATAGGTAGATTTAACTACGCGCTGATGAATATTCTGCAAGCGTTGAAAAGTATATATAGACCAATCTTGTATCATACAAAGCTCCATGCAGTAATCCAAGTATACCCAGCATTCAAACTCTGTCGTTACTGACACACACGCATTGCGTATCATGTCGTAGTATCTTAAAATAAATCATGCGCTTTGAATTTTGAGATCGCTCAGCAAGTCACACGTTTGTGATATGCTTGCTTATTCGGCACAGACCCATACGCACACTTATAACTTGAACCACGCGCTAGAGCGACTCCTGCATGCACGGTTCTCATTCACATTTGCATTCCCACGCACAACAGTTCGTTAATAAACCCTAAAACCCAAAGACCACAGCCCATTGCCATTATGTATAATTTAGAAGGCTATGAGGCTATGCCAAATGCCTCCTAATTAAATAATTGCATCATGGCCTAATGACACATCCCTGTAATTATTTTGGGAGGCTGTGACATAGCCTTCTAAACCAAACCCAAAACCCTAGCATGTGGTACATACTCAAATCCTTCTCGCATGAATACCTACCTGGTCACGGCATGGACTGGAGCCGTTGAACCCACCCATGCACGATAACTCGTCTACAAAGAGTATTGTATGGTTTGGCCGGATGCCTGCTCGGTATGCCCTGCCACTCTTCCGGACGAACGTGATGTTGCCGAATACAAAGTCAATGCCTATTGGTTCTGGCTTGCTGTGGTAGAGGACAGTCGCATGTGAAACCTGAGAACTTGGGGTGATATGTTCGAGTTCATAAAGTCTCAAGCGGTATATGACTGTTTGTTCGGAGTGTACCCCAGTTGAGTATATGGCTGCATATAGAAACGTATTCGTGAGCATACAGCCTTTGTTCTAGTCGCCTCACCTACAAATACATTCACAACCATGCGCCGCATCAGAATAAATATTCGGATTCTGGCAAATTCAAATAAGCATTTCACACTGTGCGGGTGTTAAATAGTGAAACTTCATGTAGATCGTTGCCTGTGGGGATGGAACTATCCTACCTCAGGTATGTGCATCTATGTACATGTCGCATGTGTATCGTTGTATGGTAGTGTGTGTTGACGCAAAAAATAACCATATATGCATATGTGCATCTAGCCACCTGCGAATGTTGAGTGTGCAAGTATGTAGCAATGTCTGAGGTTCTTTCAAAACAAATGCGAATATTGAGTGTCTGAGTACGTAATACTAAGTCTGTGAGTGCGTAATATTGGGTGTGTAGGTATGTAACAATGTATGAGCAAGTTGGCGTCGTTCCCTGTGCCTATATACTTTCAACAAACTCTATCAAGATTCAAAGACGGCCCATCTCTTATCTGGACATATACGGTTGAAAGATAGCGATTATCAGACATCAATTCCGAGCGCTTTGGAGGTTTGTCTGTACTAAAAATAAACTGTTCACTTATCACTCGTCCACCCCTCCCCCCCTCCCCCATCCCCCTACCTACTCATACATTCTCTTACATCTAAACATGTATCAAGCTAGGTAACTCGATGTCATGCCGGTGTGCAGTGTGTATTGCACACTTAAATCTCTCCTAAAAATAACCAACACACAGTTAGAGGATCAGATACAGAGTACGAGACTAG